TGACTTGGGCTCTTTGTGGGGCAGAGTTGGACCTAGGGAGGGCAGAGACCATTTTCCATGGCTGTGTGGTGTGGAGAGGGTCTAAGCAAGGGTGGTGATTGAGATTGTTCATTGAGTGTTATACTCCAGGCGTTGTGTGGGTATGTCACATCTAGGTATGTTACAGATGAGGAGTTAAGATTTAGGTTAAATAATTGGTAGACCTGCAGTTTGAACCAGCTCCTAGAGTCCTGATTCAGATTAGCAGTGTTATCTTTTTTTTTTTTTTTTTTAAATGTTGTTGTCATAGGGAGTGTGTGCTTGCCTGAGAAAGACAAAGGGAAAGCAAGAAGTCATCCCCGGGGGGGGTGGCCACACCACAATCCCTTCTCCATTCTCTCTTGAGGTTTGGGCCATGCACACACAAGCTGGCATGATTCTCAAGCCACCGGGTCTGGGTCTCCAGCTGCACTTAGCCACGTGTGAGTCCAGCACCATAACCACTACGCAGCCGCTGGCACGGTTCTGTGGTAGCTTTTGTTTCTTTTTTTTTTTTTAAAGTTTGGTATAGAGTGTGTGCTTGCTAGAGAGAGAGAGAAAGTGAGAAATCACCCCTCCACCCACCAGGAGGCATGGCCATGCTGCAGTCCCTTCTCCATTCTCCTGTGAGGATTTGGGCCATGTGCACTGGCATGGTTCTCGGGTCACTGGGTCCAGGATTTGAACTGTGGTCGGACATGTGGGAATTCAGCACCTTAACCACCATGCCATCTGCTGGCCCTGCAAAATGATATCTTATTTTTTTTTGGTTTGGTATAGAGTATATACAGTTGCCAGACACACACACACACACACACACACAGAGAGAGAGAGAGAGAGAGAGAGAGAGAAAATGAGAAAAATCCTTGAGAGGGCATGGCCATGTTACAGTTTCTTCATTTTATTGAGATCCTGGGTGCATGTGTATACGTATCCAGTGTGATTTTCAAACCACCGGGTCTGGGACTTGAACCTCTCTGTTGGCCATGCATGGGATACAGCTGCCTTAACCTCCATGCCACCTGCAGGTCCCACAAAGTGGTATCTTTTTAAAAGAGCTTATGTATTCCTTGAGTGAGAAGAGAGAGAGACAGCACCCCCAGCAGGGTCTAGACCCTGCAGTCTGCCCCATCCTCAGCCAGTCCAGAGTAAGGGCCCAAGTGCATTCAGAGTTCTGGGCGTCAAACCTGGCAGCTCCACGTGGGGCTGCCTTGCAGTGTTTCCCACTGCCATCCAGCCCACAAAGTGGCATTTTGATAGGACAGAGCAAGCAGTGTGTGCATACTCGGACTACGGGGGTCGGGAGGGCAGGGGTCCAAATGTGGCTTGGGAAGGTTTGGTGGAACGGGCAGTGAGAAATTCGGGAGTGTAGTTTGGGCCCCGCTCATGTCAGACTGAGCACAAGTCGTGTTTCTTACCCTTTCCTCCTCCGTGTTCGTGGACAGGAGCAGGAGGCGGGAAGTTCCCGTTCACGTGTATTCTCTCAGGTCTGATCGGTGGGAGTGACCGAGGTGGCGTGGGGGCGTTGGTGACACCTCTGCCTGAGTGGCCTTCTGCAGGGTCCTCCCTCTTCCTCCTACCAATGTGGCCTCAGCGAGGAGAACCTGCAGCCTGAGGCTTTCTCCGTTTTCCTTTTTGGTGTTCTGGGGCCCAGGAGTGTAATTTCGATTTCAGGGTGATAAAGAAATTGGCAGGGCTGGCTGTGCAGCCCCCAGCAGTGGTCTGGAGAGGTGTTGCGTCCGGCTGTGGACAGCCCTCCTGTGTCGACTGGAAGTGCACGTAGGAATAAGTGCACACTCACACGTGCATGGCGTCACACCCCACGTTCTGTACCACACTTTTTTTTTTTTTTAAGAGATTTTTGCTATTGGGCACTTCTTCTCACTGGAAAGACAGAGAGAGACAGACAGAGAGATAGAGAGAAGTCACCCCCTATGGAATGGCCGCGCCACAATCTCTTCCCCTCCATTCTCCTCTTAGGATTTTGGGTAGACACGCATATGCACTTGATGTGAGTTTCAAGCTGCTGGGTCCAGGACTCGAACCATGGCCTACTACATGGGAGTCCAGCGACATAACCGTTACACCATCTATTGGTCCCTATACCACACCTTTTCTGTGCCAGTTGCACCGGTGAGGTTGGCAATCCAGGTCTGGGCTGAATCATGCCACTCACCGAGAGCTCGGCCGGACTGCTGCGGTGTTTGCGTGTGTCTGTGTGTGTCTGTGTCAGGGCTTGGGGAGAGCCCAGGCTCCACGCTGTCCCCCGCTTTGGCGTGTTCTCGATGGTCGTGAGTGTTGTGAGGCCCCTGCTGGGGGAGCAGTGCGCGTGCGTGCTGTGGCCTGTGGTGTCGACAACCCCAGACCTGGATCTCAGATGGGATTTAGAAGAGAGGGTACGGCTCCCTCGGTACTGGCAGGGAATTCCACCTGCTGGCAAGACCCAGGGTTGGAGCCCCGAGGGCCGGCAGGCACCCAGGGTGTTGGCCCCTGTGGTCTGGGTCTGGGACAGGCCCATGTAGAACATGCGGGGTCAGGGTCGGTTTCCTCCCTTCCTCTTATCAGGGTGGTGCCGTTAGTGTCTTTTCTAGATCACTTTTCTACTGGTGTGACAGGAAAGAAAAGGAATTAACGTAAATTCTGATACTTTATGAAAATAGTTCTGTTGCTTATCCAACCATGAAATTATTTGTAAACTTTGAACTTGTTTGTGTAGACCGCTAAGTAAGCAAGCAGATTTAACCGTAAAGGAACAGCTGAAATGAGAGCTGCAAAGGCCTAATATTGTCGTAAAAAAAAAAAAGGAATACTTCAGCAGCTATAAAATCCTGCCAGCAGTGAACTTGAACTTACTGAAAAGTGCCAGTCATGACACCAGTGGAAGACGGAGCTCACGGAGCAGTCGTCGGGGTCCTAAACGGAGCAGCTCCCTCGTTGGTGCGAGCCCCCGTGTGCAGGAGATGAGTGGGGTGGTGCCTGGTGCACGTGCTGCTCGGGGAGAGTAGGTTTGGATTCTGGTCCTGGTTCCAG